GTTGATCTCTTCTCTATGTGCATGTGCTTTCCATTAGCTCTAGCCTCTCATTGCCATGTCCATGCTTGACATGATGTTCCGGTTGATCTCTTCTCTTTGTGCATGTGCTTTCCATTAATTCTAGCTTTTCATTGTCATGTCCATGTKTGTTGTGATGTACCGASTCTCACTTAGTTGATYTCYTCTCTATGTGCATGTGCTTTCCATTAGTCCTAGCCTCTCATTGTCATGATCATGCTTGACATGATGTTCCGGATCTCACCTAGTTGATCTCCTCTCTATGTGCATGTGCTTTCCATTAGTTCTAACCTCGCATTGTCAATGTTCATACTTAATGTGATGTTCCGATTGATTTCTTCTCTTTGTGCATGTGCTTTTCGTTAGTCTAGCCTCTCATCGTCATGTTCGTGCTTGTTGTGATGTACCGGTTCTTACTTAGTCGATCTTCTTCTCTATGGGCATGTGCTTTCCACTAGTCTAGCTTCTCATTGTCATGTTCATACTTAATGTGATGTTCCGGATCTTACTTGGTTGATCTTTTCTCTATGTGCATGTGCTTTCCATTAGTCTAGCTTCTCATTGTCATGTTCATGTGTGATGTGATGTTCCGGATCTTACTTAGTTGATCTTCTTCTCTATGTGCCTCTCATTTCCACTAGTCTAGCCTCTCATTGTCATGTTCATGTGTAATGTGATGTTCCGGGTCTTACATGGTTGGTCTTTTCTCTATGTGCATGTGCTTTCCATTAGTTCTAGCTTCTCATTGTCATACTTAATGTGATGTTCCGAATCTTACTTGGTTGATCTCTTTTCTATGTGTATGTGCTTTCCATTAGTCTAGCTTGTCGTTGTCATGTTCACACTTAATGTAATGTTCCGGATCTTACTTAGTTGATCTTCTTCTCTATGTGCATGTGCTTTCCACTAGTTTTGCCTCTCATTGTCATGTTCATGTGTGATGTGATGTTCCTGGTCTTACATGGTTGGTCTTTTCTCTATATGCATGTGCTTTCCACTAGTTCTAGCTTCTCATTGTCATATCCATGTGTGTTGTGACGTTCCGGATCTTACTTAGTTGATCTCTTCCCTATATGCATGTGCTTTCCGCTAGTCCTAGTTCCTCAATTGGAAAGTTCATGTGTGTTATAGTATCCGGCTCATACTTGGTTGATCTTTTACTATGGGATGGGTGACCAACATTTGGCTGCTACTACGGGTGATGACTGGATTAGGATTAAACATCTCTTCCCTCTCTACTTTTCCCTCCCTCTTTTTTCCTTTCTCTCCTCCTCTCTCCTTCTCTCTCTCTCTCCCTCTCTCTCTCTATCTACCTTCTTTCTCTCTTTTTCTCTCGATTTCTCACTCTCTCTCTCTCCTCCCCCTCCACCACTCTCTCTCTCCTCATTCACTTTTTTTCCCTCTCTCTCTTTCCCTCACTTGGCATATGACTAACCCCTTCTCCCCTCACTTGGCATATGACTAACCCCTTCTTCCCTCACTTGGTGCATTGTCAGGGTGCGAACGGTAAGAAGGGATCAGACCTCACTTGGTGGAGAAAGAGGGCAAGGGGAGGGTAGCCAGTCCCTTGTGCCACCAAGAAGGCAAAGAAAAAGGACGTTGGAAAAGTGAGAAAGGACGCGGTCCGGAGAATGTGAAATATTAAGCAAAGGTCAGTTTTGACTCAACCATTTCCCTGACTGCATGACTATGAAAAGAGAATGGGCTGATTGAGCAACGAAATAGAACAAAAGAGCAGCCAAAGAGCTTGGAAAAGATAGGCATGTGGGAAGGGCTATGTGTTGACCCCCAACGGGGGATTGTATGGATCTTTGCTTTGTGTGGGATTGTGCAGGTGAGTAAGGGTTAAGGATGCCTTAAGTGGGATGGGCCGGGAGGAACTGGGCACCAAGAGGGAAAGGGAAGAGGGACAAAGGGGCTACAAGACCCTAGCATGAAACCAACCCATGAAAATTACCTTTGCCTTTTGAGATTTAGAGGGTAGATGAGAAAATGAAGCGCAATCTTGCCAAGGGGAAAGGGGATGGTATGCGTGCATGCATATAATGGCCCCGAAAAGACTAAGGGGCCTGCGACAATGAAGTTGATTAAGATGCATGAGGCCCAACAGGGGCATAGAGGCGAGGGGTAAGACGGCTTCGCCGCACCCCGATGACGCCGTAGACACACAAGGTTTAGGGAAATGGTGCGCGGCCTAAGGATGACGCTTAGCCTGCGCACAAAGGAAGAAAGACTCTCAAAGAACCCCTGGACTGCCTGCCTATTGGAAAGAGCAATTGCTTGGCAACACAACTATGAATCGCAAAAAAAAATCAGCGCTACGGAATGACCAACGAGACTACCACCCGGCGTGAGGGTTAAGCTACATCCCCAATGTCAAGGCTCTCTCGCACGATGACCCACCCCCATCCATCTCAAAGCACTAGGTGGGGGTGACCCTGGGACGAATGGCCCGCGCCCTGAGCATGAGTGTGGGCGGGCCGAGCCGACTGGGACCTGCAGTGGGGTCGACTAAGGCTCGAAAGTCTACCGGGGTTTGACCCTACAAAAATGGTGGAGGTGACGGGCAAGGGCTAAGGCTCGAAAGTCTACCGGGGTTTGACCCTACAAAAATGGTGGAGGTGACGGGCAAGGGTTAAACTGACCCTTGCGATTTCGAAGGGGGTGTCCGACGCGTTGACGTGTACACAACTCAAGATAAGGAAAATAAACTTGTGTTTGCTCTTTCCCTTGTGCGAAATCAGATTTGAGAGTGGTTGGGCCCATGGCATGGCCAGGCCTGGAGGTATAACATGCATGCTATGCACTTGATCAGTTGTTCCCTTGTAGGATGGCTCTAGCCCCCCTTCGTCCGGTGCTGGTGTTCGCCAGTCCGGGGAAGCCTTAGGCGAGTCGCAGGTCGACCCTTCCTCTTCGAATGAAAGAAGGGCTCCGGTTACCTGGCAGGCGGTTGGTGCTTCGACTTAGGCCGGGTTCCAATGAAAATCCCGCGGCGGAGTGATCCGACCGGACGGGTGCCCCTTCTACCTTCTTCTTTGAGCCCAGTGGGCTCATGCACTTTGCACTTTTTTCTTGAAATGCTTGAAGGAACCAACATGAACACAACGGGTCATCAAGAAGGAACAATCCCGTCCTATGAAAGGACAGACAAATGAAGAAAAAGGGAATGAAGGGAGTTGCTAGACTCCAAGGAAAACTAGCTCACCTTTGAAGACTCTCACGAGAAGGAACCAACCACTATGTATGAAAATAGGGGGAGTGACACTCATTGTCCTGAGAGAAAAATGTGAGTTATGGGTAGGAAGTGCTAGGAGCACCAAGGGAAAGGCACTTGTATTCTATGTGTCCCACTTGGGACTTGTGTTTGCATGATGGGATTCGAGCGTCCTGCCTTTCGGAAGGAAAGGATTGGTTTGCACCGGCCGGTGCGGGTTGCGAAACGTCGCTCTTTTTTTGTAGGCTGCCGTGTGTTCGCATGTGGAGGTCAGGCCACTGAGCTGTCAGACGGGAGTTTGTCACGTCGGTTGATTAGTAGCATTCTCGTTCAAGCGGTGATGAGCTTTGCTCGATGATCCGCCGGATGGGGTGTGAAATCTCCTCAGGCGGGACTTAGCCTGTTGGCTGGCGGGGGGAGTACCACTGCGTACGGACAAAGACGGAGCCTCAGAGACGATTAGTAGCTTCTCGTAGCATGGCTTGGGAAAGGCTGATTCTTGTCGGACCGATGGAAGTGAATGCCCGGACGACTGACTTTTGTCCCTGTACTTAGGCACACGGGGTAGCCCTCGGTGTCGGTATGGATGTGCAAGAGCGGCAAAACGGGATGGGGTATTCTGGGTACAAGGAAAGGGCTAACGCCTTGCCGGAGCCTGGGTACCGCGCTCACGACGGTTGAGCTGCGCTTGAGGTATGGGATAAAACTCTACCGATAGTACCAGCGGAGAGACCATATTAGGGATGGCCGGTGAGGAAATGACCGACCCGTAAAGATTGATTGAGCTGGGATTGTTGGACGGGCATATTTCTAAGTTTATCCTCCCCCCCTCCCCTAAGTCCGCACGAGTGAGAGATGATCGGAAGGAAGGAGGATAGAGGTCAACTGAAATGGAACCAAGAGAAAGAATGTGGGGAAATGGATGGCCGACCGAGGGTATTATGGGAAGGAGGTACTTAGGAATGGGGAGGTAAATTAAGGAGACCTTGATGAGGGGTCTGAAATAATTCTCATCTAGGACAAGGGTTGACCTGACCAGAAGGACCGGTTGGTACTCTTTTATGAAAGCAGGGGTCGGGTGCTGAAACAAGATGACGCGATGGTTGCCTTCCCCGATCTATACCAGCGGCCCGGAAATGCCAGTAGATGTAAAGGATGGGGTATTGGTCATCCTCCCGGAAGATGGAGCGTGGACGGACCTTGGACCAGCGTATCAAACGACAATGCTGGAAGGGGAGGACGTGTTTCTTTGGATAGAGACAATATGGACTAATGTCAGCTTGACAAGGTTGTCGCCAAGCTTAATGGATTTGGAATTCCGAGGGACAGTGGAAACCCAGGGGTGGGTCTACTTGTCACAGGATGGGGAGAATGCTATGGTCATAGAATTGGCACTCGGGAATACGCCGGACGAACTGTTTAGGAAGGCAGAAGTGGAGGTTGTGTGGGCTGCGTGTCAGCAGAGGGAAATGGAAATGGAAAGGATAGACGTGCGGGTGGAACTAGGAGATAGAAGAAGCATGAGGCGACCCGTCAGGACCATGCGATGTGTGTTGCCTCCCTTCCTGGTGGATGCGGTTTTCGGAACCCGAAGCAGGTTAGTATGGATATGCCAGTCCATGATGAACCTCAGACTATACCAGTGTGCTAGGCAAGACTTCTTTCGGTTGTCGGTAGAAATGGGGCCGTTTGAGGGGAACTGGGCGGACGAGCTGACCGAGATACTAAACTGCCTTAGTGTAGACGATGTTTTTGTCGCTAGCTCCGTGCACTGGGGGATAGTCTATAGGAATGTGGCAGTAGGGGAGACATTTCTGGAAGAGGTAAAAGAGTTGTTCTACGACGAGGAGGATGACTTCAGTGATGAGGACGAAGATGATGAGATAGAGGACTGAGACTTCTAAGGAGGGTGACTTGACCTAGGGGGAACGGGTGGCCTGGTGTTGTGCAGGAAGAGGAAAGATGACTAGAGAGGAAATGATAATGGAATACACCTTCAAAGGATGGGAACCAAGGGGATTCAGGGGAGGGATAAAAATGCCTATACCAACGGAAAACGAGTGGAGGGGGACCACGTGCGACTGGGTGGGGTTTGGGGTTGCCCGAGAATTATCATATGTATGGATAGAACGGATTTGAAACCCAATAAGGGAAGAGGAAGGTTGGGACGAGAAAGACTAAAGCACGAAAGGGCATGGAATCTCGGTGGGTGCAGCAATCGGACTAAGAAAGCAGGAAAGGAGACGTTGCAAGATGGTCCGGCGAATGACATTCTGGGAGGATAGGCCTCGCGGGATCCTACCACCAAGAGCATCGGGGGGCAGGGTCGAAATAAGCCTGCCAGCAAGAAACGTGATAAGCAACCCGGTAATGGACTGGGTGGGGGTAGAGTTGGTGGAAGACACGATGTACTTAGTAGTAGAGCTGGAGTGACGTGCGAGAGGATAATTCAGAGGCATAAACTTGGACCTCCCGGGGTGAGTGCATGCGACGGGATCCTTACACCTGTCGGAAGAAGGATGGCGGACCTTTGGGATTGCTTTGGCTTCCAGGGATGACCCCGTGCGAATGTTTGAAGGAGCATGGCAAATAACTTGGCGGGAAGGGTTTGAGTTCACGGATCCAGAACGAGATGACGTGACGGCTGAGGTAAAAGTTGCCGCAGCAGGGGCCTTTGAGTTACCAAATGAGGTCGTACGAATGAGTCTGCCACCCTTTCTACTAAGACGACTGGGGGGCATAGAGCGAGTGGAGCAGGCGGTAGCGGCCGTAACTAGGCTAGATTTTGACGAAGTATTAATGTATCAAGAATACTACCGGACCTTCCTAGAGATGGGGCCTTTTAAAAACGAACAGGGGCACGAGGTGTTTTGTATACTACGAGCAACAGTAAATACTAGGCCAGGAGTTCCGCAAATAAGTGATGAGGCTATGTGGAGAGTCATCCGGCGGGAAGTAGGTCGGGGCGCAACCTACATAGATGACCTTTACCGGCTGTACGAACAACCGGAGGGGGTTGCTGCTCCTGGGGATATGGAGGGATAGTTGAAATCAGGGAAGAAGAATGAAAACTTGAAGGGTAAGAGGTCAGTAGGTGGACGTTTGCTAAGGATTGGCTATAACCCTCTCTATGTGGACTATGCACGGAATCGCCAAGGCAGCAATGGCAGCAAGACATGTGCGAATGGAACACCAGCCCCGCATGCGAATGGAACGTCAGCCCCAGTACCCCGGACCGCAGTGGAATAATGGCGGGCGATGGGAAGTATCCCTCCCCTCGAGTCCCAACTATCGGGGGTTTGACGTAGAATGGCGGACCGTAACCTTGGGGAAAGACATCGCCTTCATGTTGGTAGAATGTCGGTGGACGGGGATGAGAATCAATCGGGGACCAGGGGATGATCTATTCTCCAGTTTAGAGGTAACCGGAGTCCTGTACCTACCCGAGGCAGGGTGGCACTTGCTGGGGATAGAAATAGTGCAAGGCCACGAGCTGGCTCCCGTCTTTCGGAGGGTGGCCCGGGTGTTAACACGGATAGGACAATCAGTCAGGGGTAGAAGAAACGTGGACTTACTTACCCGGGTGGAAATGGGAGGTTGAAGGGAATTCAGGGCACCTACCACGCCACTGAGGTGCCGAGTTCCCCGTTTTATGATAGACCTCGTCTTCGGGAGTCTCTCGAGGGCGCAGGTTCTGGCAGACTCGGCGATAGTCTGGGTAGACCACTTCCCCTCCCCGACCATTCGGATGTTCTACGATGTCATTGTGGAGCATGGGCCGTTCTGGGGAGACAGGGCCCACGAGTTACTGGAAGTCATCCACATCCTGATGTTTAGGCCGCCACGGCTAGACTGGCGGGATGCGAATGCATAATCCAAAGGGAAATCGAGATAGGAGAAAGTTATTTAGCAGGGGTGGCTGAACTATTCGAGGAGCCTATCGAGCCGGAAGGGCCGCGAGGGCGAGAATGGGACTAGCACCCGCAGGCGGGCCAATAGGGCAAATTGAGTATAGTCCACTACGTACAGAAGTTCGCCGATGGAAATAAGAAAGGGGCCTCGGACCCGGATGATCAAAACCCGCTAGAAAACAAAGGAGGGGGTAGACTCCTAATGGTTGTCGTGACCCTGAAGGTCGGAAAGGGAAATACCGCTCGGGAAACTTTCCCTAGCACGATGCCTAACCCGGGCTCCTACGCACCGGGCCGACGAGGCAAGGACGCTCTAAACGAGCCTGTGATAAAGGAAACTAAGTCACACCCTTAGCTCGACAGGGCCGCAAGGCCAGCCGTGGCTCCTTTTTAGGGAAGCAATCAGGAAACGGAGATAGGGAAAAGTCTACTTCCCAAATAAAGATAAGCCAACGAAGTCGGGAACCTAGGGAACCTAAATGCTCCGCGTTGCGTGTATCCTGGGAATTCTTTGGCTTATGCAGAACTAGGCAAAATGGCAACGGAGGATGAGACGGATAACCGCAAGAGTGAAGGAGGACCACGCTTAGGAGGCAGTGCCGTGCAAAGCGAAGAAGGGCAGAAAGACAGAGAATCGACAAACCCAAATGGTACCAAAGGGAACCGGAAGGAAATCTCCTTAGGCGAAAGCTCGGGGAAAGCCGGGGGAAGCAGGCAAGGGACTCAGGAAACCAAGGAGGGCAGGAATAAGGATAGGACAAGCCCCTGGAATTCAGAGGGAGCTGTGTCTAAGAAAGTAAGGGTCACGGATGCAAGGCGCAAACTAGCAGAAATAGAAAAGAGGACCGCAGAGTACAAAGCAAGATTGATCGAGGAAATGATGACTGGGAACGAAGAAGGCCCTTTGCAGGAAGAACCACGGGGCAAAAGGAGGGTTGGCTGAGGTGGAACTGGGCAAGGGGATAAGGGTAGTGACCGTGGGGGAACTCCGAGCAAAAGGAGGAAAGAAAGAGAGAACTCCCCGGGGATGGAAGCGGAGAAAGATACGAACCCACCAGCAATAGATAGTAGGGCTAGCCGCCTGCCGACCACACCAGCAGTCACGCGAGGATGTGAGGGACTCTGGAGCCTCAGGGAAAGGGTGTTGGGATGGTTTGACCCACAAGGAACTGCGAAGACCAGAGAAAGACGATAGGCCGACAAGGAAGGGCCGGATACTAGTATGGCAGGCGAGGCCAGTAGCTCCGAAGGCGGCCTTAGGAAGATAGTATCATCCCTTGCACAAGCACTGAACAAAAACCAGGGCTACCTAGCGGACGCTAAGAAAAAGTTGACGTTCGATGGGGCGAACATCACGGAGTTCCTGATCGATTATGAGAACCTAGTTGCGCTGTTGAAATGGACCGAAGAAGAAAAAATGGACCACCTGGGACAGCATGTGTCACTGAGCCTAGGGCGGGACATAATGGCCATTGTGGCCGCGAGCCGGTCTTGGAAAGAAACCCGGGATGTGATGATGAGAAAATATCTGGCTGCAGAGAAGATGACGATGGAAGCCTATTTAGCGGCAATCCAGAGGAAGAACTTCGCGACTTACAACGACTTCCTACGGGAGTTTACTTTGGTAGCACTAAGGATCCCCGGGGTTACGGACCGAATAATGAGTAAGTACTTCCTCAGGCAGTTCTTCGAGTTCGACAAGGACAAGATCCTGTCGGCTTACTAAGAGACGAGCAAATTCGTAAACACTAGGGATGTTGATTTCAGTACGGTAACGGATCTGGCCAAAAAGATGGTAGTGACTGAGACATTGGCCTTGCTTAAGGAAGGGGAGGTCATAGATCTGACCGGTAGGACGGGCGACAAGGTAAAGAAGGGGATTGAAAGTCTACATGAACGGGTGCACAGAGTCGACAACAAAATTGAAAGGATGGAGGGCGCGTTACTGGTTATGCAGGCGTAAGTGTCCCGACCCTCCCTCCCTCCCCAGGAAGCCATAGTTCCGCCAGGTGTAGCCAATCGAGGGTTCGGACGGAGGGATTCTGCTAACGAGCAGTGCAGGTACTGCACCGCGATGGGACATTATGTGCGCGCAAGTCCAAAACTCGACCATGATATATTAAAAAGAAGATGTACCAGGTCATTAAAGGGAGAGATATTCGAACCACAGGGAGAACGGGTAAATTGGAACTCGCCAGGGGGGATGCGGCGGGCCGTTATCATGCTCAATGGGCTAGAGATAGCAGCCGTAGAAGCTGAGCCAGTGGTAGATATCATCTGGGATCAGCTTCGGGGCCGCGGGCCGCAGGTCAACTTCATTTTGGAAAACGACAGACGTGATAGGGTGAACGCGACTACTCGGCTAGGGACGGATGGGAGGAGGATTACCCGCGACACCGTGATGGAGGAGGTTGTCGAAAGCTTCGTACCCCAGGAGGAACCTGAGGCCGGAGAACCAGAAAAAGTCTATGGGAAGCCTAGGGAAGAGGAGCCTGCGGACAAGGTTACCGCTACCAAGAAGAAGTTTCGGTATCAGATTTCGATCTTAACCTTGCCCGAGATCGACGACACCCTTAGCAAGTTATTAGGAACCATGGTGTCCGTGTCGTTTCAGACCATGTTGCAGGCTAGCCCTAGGTTGCTCAAAGGGCATAGACAATTGTTGACTCGGCGGTGGGTAGAGATAGACGAGAACCCCGGAGCACCGGAAGAAAAAAGGGAGGAGGAAGCCCCGCAAGAGGTCGCTAACCTTCAGAGGAGTCGTGGGGATTTACAGGATCTTGAGAAAGCCTTTGCAGACATCCAGTTGAGCCTGCCAGACCGAGAAGGTGGCGAAGTCATGAGGGCACCTCCTAGGACAAAGCTCAGTTTCCATGCGCTACCCGTAGGAAAATTGAAAATTCAGATCGGAACTCATCATACCGACGCATTAGTAGACGGGGGAGCGGAAATCACTCTCATAAGGAGAAATTTCACTACAATCACAGGCTGCACGGTAAATAAGGAAGTGACGGGGAGCATCCGGGGAGCCGGTGGGGAAATTTCGTTCGCTGGGTATGTCACGAAATGTGCAGTCAAGGCAGGAGCCAGGGAGTCAATCTGGTCGTTCCAAAGGATGACTGTAATGGAGGAAATGGATCACGATATAATCCTCGGGAGACCGTGGTGCGCAAACGTGGAAATGATAGGCATGCACTTGCACGATGACACGCATATGGTAGACATAGAAGATCTTGTGACCGGCCGGGGTGAACTTCTCCGACTCCTCAGAACTGGAGGGGAACCGCCAAAGGGGAAGTTGGCAACGTGGTCGTCGTCGTTCGAAGATAGCGCAGGAAAAGGGGCTTTCGCGCGGATGGAAGGTATGAGAGAAAGGGTGGAAATCGTGATTGAAGAGGCATTCAACAAGAAAGAATGGATCAAGATGGGCCTGCCCCAGAAGAAGAGGATGCAGGAGGACGAAGTCTTAGGTGTTATGGTAGCGGAAAAGGAGTCAGAAGTTGAACTCGGTGCCAGCCTGCCCAAACGGAAAGAAGTACGCATGGACGTGCCGGAAGTCGCACTCGAGATCCCCGATTTATTACAGCTCATCAAGGCCCTCACATACCACAAGGTAGGAGTGGACTCGGCGACCTTGGCCAAATTTGAAAGAGAAGTGCAAAAGGGATATTGTCTGAATGAAAAATTAGTTAGTATTCAACCACGAATCGCAGAGGCAACAAGGGCAATCCCGACCGTTCATTTTTTAGGAGAAAGATCCCGGAAGGAAGTGTTCAAAAGTACAAGCCGGTAGGAAAGAAAGCAAAGTCGGTTTCAATCCTGCTAGAAACGTCAAAGGAGGAGGCTATGGAGAAGGAGGAGGAAGTCCTTCGAGTGATCCAGGAAAGGAGAGCGACGGAAGGACATCGGATACCAGATGAGGTAGCAGATACGATGAAGATAGGGGTAGACGGATTCCTAACGGAAGAGGAAAACCGCCTGATAAAAAAGACCTGCCAAGAGTTTCACCTGACATTTGCCTTTAGTGATCACCAAAAGGGGCGGCTGGACGCGAAGTTGATTCCTCCGGTCAGAATCCACACGGTAGAACATGAGTGCTGTAATGACAAGGGTCCGTCCTATGAATTTGGGATAGCGGGGGAAGTGACAGACCTTCTTCGAGCAAAAATGGACTCCTTTGTCGCAGAACCTATGGCGTCGCCATACGCAAACCGGTGGTTCGTCTTTCGAAAGCCCAATAAGATGCTAAGGTGGATTCAGGATCTACAAAAGTTGAATGCGGTAACCATCCGGGATGCTGGCTCGCTACCTCAGGCTGATTTATTAGCAGAGTCGCATGTCGGTCGGAGCATTTACTCTCTGATCGATCTATACTCAGGATACGACCAGCTTCCATTTGATGTCCGGGACAGGCCGTACACCGCAATGCATACCCCCGTAGGACAGTTGCAGATGCAGGTGACTCCTATGGGCTTTACAAACGCGGTAGCTGAAGCGCAACGAAAAATGCTCGCCGTAGTTGGGGACATGTTCCCAGAGAAGTGTGAACCCTACATCGACGACAACCTGATCAAAGGCGCGCAGGAGAAAGACGAGACGAAAGTCCAGCCAGGAATCCGAAAGTTTGTATGGGACCACCTACAAGACATCAAAGACTTACTTCGCCGGTTCCTAGTATACAACATCACGGGTAGTGGACCAAAGAGTATTCTAGCAGTAACGGAGGTAACTATACTAGGATTTCGCTGCGGTGTTTACGGTAGGAAGCCAGATCCGACAAAGACAGACAAGATATCGCAGTGGCCAACACCCTTGGGATGACAACGGAGGTAAGAGCATTCCTAGGCGTGGTCGGCTTTTGGAGAATCTTCATTAAGAATTTTGCCAGGATTGTTGAACCTATCTGGGCTATGATCAGAGAAGAAGGGACCATGGACTGGACGGAGGAGCGAGAAGAAGCCGTTCAGACCCTCAAGGACATTCTGACATCGGAACAGGTCGCCATGTCGGCACCCTGCTTTAATGATGAAGTAGGACGACCATTCATCCTGGAAACGGATGAAGGACCCTTGACCGTAGGAGGCGTACTGGTTCAAGGGATGAGGAGGGAAAAGAGAGGCCGATTAGGTTCGAGAACCCTAAACTCCGCAGAGCGGCGATACTCACAATTCAAGAAGGAGGTCCTAGCCATCTTGCATTGTCTTAAGACCTTCCAGGCCTACCTATTTGGAAGGCGGTTCATCCTTAGGATCGATCCGACAAATGTTGCGGGGGCCCTAAAGAATTACAGGCCTATAGATCCGACGGTGGGGAGATGGGTAGGATTTATCCGACAGTTCGATTACAATATCGAACGGATTGCGGGAATCAGAAACAAGGCCGATGGGTTGAGCCGGGTTTGCATCACCCCAGAAGGGGTGGAAGAGGCGGAGCCCATAGACGCGTTCCTTGAATTCGAGGGAGGAACCCTTGCGGTGGACAACGAAATGATGGACGAAGATTGCGCGTCGGGAGAACTGTTGATCCGGACTTTGGAGAAGGGGGCGCCTGCCATAATAGCACAACTTAGAGAAGGACCCGTCACCGCTCGAGGACGTAAAGAGGAGAGAGATTCATGGGGAGCAATAGTAGGACCGAAGGAGGAGCTAATAGCAATGACGGTTGAGGGAGGCCGGGAAGCCGTGATGAGCTTAGTGGAATCTTGGGAGAAGAAAGAGTTGCAATGGATGGTAAACCAGATGCAGGAGAGAAAGGATAAGGACCACGAAGGAAAGGAGTTTTTCTATGCCCAGACATACGAAGGGATCTTTCGGGAGATCGGGTTGTTGTTGGTAGGAAACAAGCAACCCACGGAAGTCAGCACTAAGGCAAGGGAGGAGGCCGAAAGGTACGTCCTAAGGGGCGGCCATCTGTTCCGAACAGAAGAAGGTGCTATGCCTAGAAGAGTTGTGTGCGGAAGATCTAGGCAGTTAGACGTTATCCAAACAATGCATGACGGACTAGCAGGAGGACATCGGTCGTCCAAAGGAACTCTTGCAAAGATAGCGCCGCTTTATTATTGGCCAGGCATGGCAGGCATGGTCGCCATATACTGCCAGACATGCCTTATCTGCCAGGAGCGAAGCTCGGCACGAGTCTTCGAGCCGCTTAGACCTACGCGGGTGCTAGGGCCGGGACATCTGGTCCACCTTGACCTTGCGGTCATGCCTGTATCAACAGATGGGTACAGGTATATTCTGGATGCGCGAGACAACTTGAGTGGGTTCGTGGAGGCGGTCGCTCTCAAGAAAAAGACAGGGAGAAGTGTAGCGGACTGGATAAAAGACTTCTACTTAAGGCATCCTTTCGTCAGGAGGTTTATAACGGACAATGGGACATAATTTGTGAACCAAGAAGTATCGGGAATGCTTAAGAGACTCTGCGTACCGATCAAACTCATCGAGCCGTATCACCCGGAGGCCAACGCGCCTGTGGAACGAGGGCACCGAACCTTAAAGAACACAATTGCGAAGCTCGCGGCGGACCATCTGGGAAACTGGCCTAGGTATCTCAAGCAGACTGTCTTCTCAGAGAACATGACACCTAAAAGGACAATGAGATGTATTCCAGCAGAACTTTGGTACGGAAGAGAGATCGACTTTCCCGTTGAAGCCTTGATACCTACCTGGAACAGAATAGATGACGATCCGTGAATGACCACGACAGAATTAATCGAGGCAAGGTGTCAACAGGTCCTTAAGAACGAAGAGGTCATGGAAGACATCGCCAACCGGGTACTAGACAGCAGGATGAGGGACAAAGCAAGGTGGGACCAGGTCAAGAATGTCAGAAAGGAGCCATTTCAAGTGGGGGAGATGGTATTGCTAAGGAACTCGGCACTAGAGAGTACTTGGTCTGGACAACTGGGGAGGAGGTTCAAAGGCCCCTACCGGGTCGCCAAGCGGGTGGGACTGAACACATTCGAACTGGAAGATTTGGATGGAACTGGATTGAAAGGACCCTTCCCGGGGCAACGATTGGTCAGGTTTCTAAGTTGAGACCCAGTGGAACAATGGCTTCAGGAGGCCGAGGACAGGGAAACTGAAAAGCTACAAGCTAAGGACTGGCAATGACCTTGCCCACACTTTGGTTCTGTCTCTGACTACGTCTGTGGGACTGTCATTTTTTTGACTGGGGCAATGACTTGGACTGACTGAGGTTGAAATGCAGGATGACTTGGGGATTTGCGGTAGCGGGTTTTGTGCGACAACGAGAAGGATTGTTGGGGCATTGTATCATAGTTTTTGATGGGAAATAATGGGATCATCACAAATGGCGCATTTGCATAAAGGAGGGGAAATGTATGAAAGGGGCATGATGCGAAGGATACTGGGAGCATTCTGGGGAAGGGGGAACTGCCTACCGGACTGGGGAAACGGGTGTGTGAGGGGCTTTGCGGGTGTTGTTATGTTATACAGGACTTAGGAGAAAAACAAGAAAAGCAAAAATGAAATTCGGCAACGAGAATGACAGTGGGGCCATCAACAGGCCTACCGAAGGAGGTGGAACGGGACCAAGCCAAGAGCCAAGGACTGCCAAAAGGAAGTTGTTTGTAGGAGATTTGTCCAGGCGCGTGCCAGAAAGGAGAGGGAGAAAGTGCTTATGTAGAAGACCCTCCGGGAGGGAGAAGGTATAGAGATCTCATCCGAGAGTGAGGGTGAGAAGGAAAGGGCAAATGTGGGAGAAGCGGGCAATGCGAATATGGGAGGCGAGGCTCGAGCCTCTGACGAGGGAAGGGTCGGGGAATGCGAACGACGTGAGCCTTGGTGTGGGGAAAGCGAGGAGAGGCAGGACATGCGCAGCGAGCATGAGGAAGGCGAGGAAAGAAGGGAAAGCCCGCTTGAAGGACGAAGCGGTTACGACAGTTGTGAGGGATATGGGACAGGGACAAAGGTTCCTTTTACTTACGATCCAAAGAACCTAGCAGGCGGGTATAGCCCCATACAGACGGAGGACGAAGAGGACGAGGAGGAGGATGTACAAGAAGTCATAGAAATCAGCAGCGGGGACGAGAGGTATGCGATCTCGAGGCCTAGGGAAGAGAGGCGGCCTCCAATGCACCAGCCGTGCGATGAGGCCTTCAGATGGGAGGATGAGTTTGGGCCAACGCCCAGTCATTGGTTTGGACCAATGTGATCAGGCACGAATGGATCATCAAGGCCCGATAACTCGCAAAAGCAGGGATGGAAGCCACGCCTTTGGACTTTTTCAGTGAGGCGGAACTACAGGAAATTGCGAAGAAAAGGAGGGAAATCGAGACCTTCGGCCTGGGGGTTAGAAAGCCTGCCGAGGAACAGGGTGGACAAGGAATCGAGCAACCTGAGGCACAAGGCAACAATAGGAACTAGATGTTGATTTAGCATTAAACAAGATTTCTGCTTTTCTGTTTGCAAAGACATGGGAGTGATAAGAACATGTATAGTATGAGTAAGCTTGCTAAGGATTGAGTGATAAGAGGGCCAACTAAGACTGTGGCACAATAAGATTAGAAGATAGCTTTTGAGGCTACTTTCTGGATGAGCTACCTTTGAAAGTAGGTACATAAGACAATGACATGGGGCATGGGATGAGACCCGCTGGGGAGGGTGTATTGTGAATTTTGGATAGAATGTGGATTGTGCTTTGAGAAGAGAAACCTTGAGTACAGATTGACGGGCGAGCCATGACATTGAATGTTGGTCGAATACAAGAGAGGTTAGGGAACCTACGGGTTAAGGGGTGTGAAGAACACTCCTTCCCTAGGAGCCTAATCCAACTGAGTCATGAACGAGTCTGAGAATAGCCGAGATCTGAGTCATTGGCACGAGTGAGAATAAGAGGGGGCGCCCCAGTCTCTTGCTATGGTTGAACGACCGGGTGGGCTAGTGCTGCTTGGGATCGCGAGTCCTAACTCGAGTACTAGACGCTAAGTCGGATGTATGCATGGATAGTACATTGCTTTGAGGAATGGATCAAAGGAAACCGTACGCATAAAACTGAAAAGGAGATGGCTCTAACCTCCGAGACAGAAATGGGATCCGTGTCCTCGAGGCCCACCCCCTCGGGCGCTAACATTGATGGAAAGGAATGACCCTAAGCAGGCTATTCGACTTGAGAATGGAAAGGAATGGCCCTAACCAGGCTGTTCGCTGTTCGACTTGAGAATGGAAAGGAATGGCACTAACCCGGCTGTTCGATTGAGAATGGAAAAGAACGACCCTAACCAGGTTGTTCGGAAATGACCCCTGACAAGGGTCATTTCTTTTGAAATAGGCATTGGGGTCCCCTGCATAATTGATTGCGAAAGGTTGATTGAGAAAGGATGATTGAGAATGAGCTGGGATAAGCACTGAGAGATGGAAAAGGTCGGTGGGTCGGTCATGGAAATGACCAAGAGGATGGATGAAAGAGAATAAGAAGGGCAAGATAAAGAAGGCTGAGCCTTAAGACAAGAAAGAGCCTGGATCGTTGGGACGGTCATAAGGATTGGACATTGAAGAATGAGAAAGCTGAGGATTGAAGATGGGCCGAAAGGTCGGTCTTGAGAAATGGCTACTGAAAGAGAGACTGCCAGAGCAGCCACAAGGGGTGGCCTTGTTGATGAGAGGCTGCCGGACCAGCCATGGAAATCAGCCTTGAAAATAGCATTGGATTGAGTGTGTGAGAATTGGATGTTGCATTGCATAGTCACGGGACCCTAGGCAACTTGATGTAAGGTCGTCGGGCCGACCATGGAAATAGCAAGGCATGGAGTTTTTCTTTTTCTAGTCTCAGGTCTCAACAAGAGGGGGATGGCGGTGCATGCATCGCGACCCCAGGACCTCTACCCATCAAGGGAAAGTCCCAGCGTGACCCACTCCCTATGAGAAGGGATAGGGGTTAAAGGACCAAAGCACCTTTCTCTTTGATTGATGTTGGCCGTTCGGAACTAACTCCGACAACGAACTCTAGTTGGGGAGTTCAAACTGCGCCTCATGTTGAGAACCTAAACGTCAAGGGCATGGAGCCAAACAGGCGAGAGAACCATTCTTTTTCCTAAGTCTCATTTTTTCCCCAACCACACGCCCTGCCGTAGAGGGGCGGCACGACCGTTTGGAATGGACCACGGCTGCTCGCATTAAGTTGAGCGACACTGTCCAGAGGGAGGGGTCGGGCGTGGTACTGGGTGGAAGCCGCAACCATTACAGGGCGAGTAACATCGCCCTGCCGGATCATTACAACCGTTCCGGGACTAACTGCGAGGTCTTCGTAACTGCACTCGCAAACTGATTGAGAGCCCCAACTCTCTTGAAAGGAAGAGGCCGGATCCAAGAAAACACCACTCGGGAGGAACGATTCACGAGAAAGCCCTTACGGCAAGACGGGGTCCTGGGAGGTTTGGACTGGACCTCCCTGCCGAATGTGAGAAGGTACCTCAGTGATGATGCCCATCTCGTAAGAGGCAAAAGACCGGACGGAGTAGAGGATGAGGTGAGTTTTCGGCAAGGGGAGGACTGATCACCCTTCCTTTTTGGGGCTGATGGGCCGGCATCCGTCTACTCGTTGGTGGGCCAAGGTCTGCGTACCTCCGAGTGAGAACTAGTTGTGCGATGGGGACATCGCATTCTGAGTGGGGGGAAGGTGTGCCATCTACCGATGAAAAAGCGTGCAAAAGAGAAGGTTACCATGAGCCCAAGAGATTGTGTAATTGACTTTGCGCAGGCTTAAGAAAATGTCTGGCAAGATGTTCAGAAGAAAGAAATGGATGAGTAATTGACTTTGCGCAGGCTTAAGAAAAGGCCTGGCAAGATGTCCAGAAGAAAGAAATGGATGAGTAATCGACTTGGCGCAGGATTGAGAAAAGGTCTGGCAAGATGTCTAGAAGAAAGAGATGGATGAGCAATTGACTTTGCATGGGCTTGAGAAAAGGCCTGGCAAGATGGTTAGAAGAGAAATGGATGAGTAATTGACCTTGTGCGGGCTTGAGAGAAGGTCTGGTAAGACATTCAGAAGAGAAGGGCATGGGTAATTGGGTTCGCATAGGCTTAAGGAAAGGACTGGCAAGACGCCCAGAAAAGTGACATATGTGTAATGGACTTTGCATGAGTTTGAGCAAGGCCTGGCGAGATGCCGGAAGAAAGATGCGTATGGAATGGACTAAGTAATGCGGATTTTGAGAATGGGGGGGTGACATGCATGCGGAATTGGCAGGGCTAGAGAAAACTGAGCAAATAACATGGGAAAAATACATGTGAATTTGGCAAAACATGAGATTGGGGAAAGAATGACGAGAGGCGTGGATTGCACCGACCAAAAAGACGAGCAAAAGAAGCGCTGAGGGCAACCGGGGTCTGAAAAGGGACGTGGCTGACACGGGGTGGATGAAGGAACAATAAAAGCACGCTTGGGGTGGCAAGGCTC